CACTCTTTCATTTCCAGCTTTTCCACCTCCTCCCCCACAGCAGCACAAGGGAAAGCAGAATGGGGATTGCAGTCTGTTCGTAATGAGTTTTCTCCCCTACTCCTTCCTCCTCTCAGTGCTCCCCTGACCCAGCAGAAAAACCCACTTTCGCTGGTGTTTTCCTGAGCCAGACTCCACTCAAAAGAGTCAATCTCATCTACAAGTAAAAGCAGAGCAGGAGAGCAGTCACACAGAGCAGGGCAATTGTGTTCTGTCAGGAAGTGGGGCAGAGAGGACCCTCAGGGCTGGTGTGGGCAGTGGGCTCTGCACCCACCTGTGCCCCCCATGGCCATTCCTGCATCACTGTTTGTGTGTCAGTGACCACCCGTGGAGAGTGACAGGGATCAACATGTTCACACATCAGTTATCAACCACTGCCAGACAGTGATAGAGATCCTAATATTACACTAGAACAGGGCCACAGCAGCAAGAAATGTAAACAAAACACAGGTCCTCAGAGTTCAAAGGTCCTGGGTGTGGCTGGGCTTAATTTTTGAGTATAGCCTTCAGCACTGTAAGTCTCGTCACATTCAGTAAGAACTTTCATGATCACAGATTCAGAAATAGTGCATTTTATTGCAGAAATACAAGTTTGGAATTGCCATTGATAAATGCAGTTACTGGATTAGCACTAAATATTTTTTTTTTAAAAAAAGAACAGCAATTGGTAATCCATTAAGCTTTACCATCAGTTAAGCCTAAAATCCCGACTTCACCAGGGCACAATGTGACATAGCTGGAGGAGCAAATCTTACCAAAGAGGCATCCCTGCTTTTGGGGCAGAGAGTGAATCAATCCCATTGACCTTTCTACAGAGTGGGGTCGTATTGTCATCCTCTGCCATGGAGGATTTCAAATGCCAAATTTATACTTTTGGGTGAAGTGGTGGTGATACTGAAGTCCTGAATGGTAGGGACCAGCCATCTTGTATACAAATGAGGGTTATTAAGAGTTTTGATTATAAAGAGCCTTGCACAAGGGCTGAACAGTGCAGTGTTAATATCACTCCATCATCTGCCTGGCTCAGGCAGAAGTTAAGGGCCTCTGCTGGATAATCTATCCAGCTGATTATGATGCACACATTGATTCCTCCTCCAGAAATCTCAGGGATTTATGCCTCATTCCTACAGTCAGGACTAACTGACTTTGTCAATTACAGTAATAGAACTCTAGGATAAACTAATAGGTTTATCTAAATCAAATCATAATAATCATTTTTTAACACACAATAATTTAGTTCAATAAATGTGAATGAAATTTTCTTTAATTAGATCAGGAAGAGTGAACATCTATATCATCTACTACGGCTGGAAAGTTCCTTTAGAGATTAAATGACCTGGTTTCATTAGAGATTAAATGATCTGTTGACCTTAAGGGAAAGATCAACATTGTCCAAAGGCTCCAGCATTTCTTGCAGTTCCTACCTCATGCAAAGCTTCATACAAGGCAGAATCCTTAGCAGTGTGTTTTCCAGTTTGGGATTGCTGAAGATCAGAACAAGGGAATGAACACCCGGAAAGGCATACAGATACATGAATACAAGAAACATCATGGCATTTTCATTCTTAGCTGAATAAATTATTGTCAAGATCAGACATATAAAGTTGATGCTGTACATTATGAAGAAGGTGAGAATGGATTTCATGGCTTTGATGTGGGCATCCATGCTGAGGTCCTTCATGGAGTTTGTCTGCATGTTGCGTTTGTGTCTCCAGAGGGAAAAGAGAAGGAGAAGGGCAGAGGTGATGACTGCCAGGAACGAAGCAGTATATCCGAAGCCAGTGATGAAAGAAATATGGAACAAATGTTTCTCCATTTTGATACTTGCTTCCCAAAAATTTCCTGGACAGGTGAAATTGCGGTCCTTACTGTGCAGTTTTTCAGTGACATCATAGGCAAGGACACTGATAGCCAAGGCTAAAAGCACAGACCCGAACAGGAGGCAGGGCACCATCCTGTCAATTTTTACTTTCAGGTAGATGAAGAAGTTGTTCCTGAAATTGGCAATTTTTATGCAATAAAAAACACAAAGACATGCTGAAACCCACAAGCTGAAATAATTAAGAAAGGTATAAAGAGATAAAATTAGTTGAAGTGTGGGGTGAACATGAAGGTGTTTGGGATAAAACACTGAAAGGAGGGAATTTACCCATGAGATGCACAAAAACCAAAACCTGGAGCATCCCAAAGCCATCAAGATCTTCTCATTAGAGTTCAAGGTTTTCTTTTTGACCCAAGTTATGTAAATCACAGAAACAATGAAAGCATTTATCCACAGGCCAGCAAACGCCTCAAGGGTGACAACAGCCACAGCCGTGGCAGCATATGAAGTGACATTGAATTGCTCTGGAGAGTGACAAGCTTCCATCCTGGGAGCTGGGAGCAGTGCTGTGCTGGACAAGGGGGCTGTTGCACCAATGCCAAACACAGGTCAGCGTCTGCTGTTGCCTGAGTGTCAGGTGTGGAAAGAGGAGCTTTATAGAGCTGCTGGTGGGGGGGATTTTGGTGCCGCTGGTGTTGAGAGCAGGGCAGGTGCAGGGATGTAAATGTAGATGTAAATGTAAATGCGCAGGGTGTCAGTGTCACTCTTCAGTATTTGAATGTTGGTTTAGGAGGGCCGTGTTGGGTGGCAGAAACAGCAGAGATGTTTTTGTGCAGAGGACATTGTTGTGATTTTGTGAGTAGCCATGTTTGATTCATGTCAGGCTTCAGGATCTGGTTCTTCTGTCATTTGGTCACCTATGGTGCTCATGCAGAGCAGGGGTTGTGCTCAGCAAAGCACCATCAGGGGAGTGCAGTGTGAGTAATGAAGTCCAGGAACCCTAATCTGAAGGTCATATATGTTGATCTCCTTTACCCTTTGTGCCTTATCTCTTCCTAACAGTCTCAGCCCAGTACAGACCGAGAGGACATGCATTTATTTAAAAATGTTCAGAGCATTATTCTTGTTCTCATCTAACTTTAGGCACTATTTTAAGTTTTGAGTAATTTAGGAGAAAAAACAAATAGTAAATTGATGTTAAAATCGTATGTATCTCTTCTGTTTTTACTGGTCTCGAGCTCAAAGTTGACAATATGTGAGATTATGTTATAACATGCAATAAAATTTCCCAGCAGTACCTGAGCAATGCCTTGGAAGTCCAAAAGCCTGCTCATTTATCTCAGCTATCAGCTATCTCAGCTGTCTAAACTACTGGTTTACCTAACAAAAGATATTATCTCTCCCTATGCCCTCTGCCAAAATTACTCCAGTCAGGGAATTTTGCTAACAGTCTCCTGCTCTTTTATCCAGGTAGATATATTTTATATATGCTCCTATTTTTAATGCACACTTATTCGTTTTTTTTTTTATCTAGAATTATAGGTATGTATAATGCTTTAAAAGCAGAGCAACTGGTGCTGTTATCCTGTGCTGTGTGTTTCAGATCTGAATGCTGAAGTTGTTAACCTGGACGCTTTTGACAAGTTCAGTCCTGTGCTGCTTTCAAATCCTATGAAGTGGAACAAACTTACCTGAATTTTGAGAAGCTGTGTGGGTAATTTTTTATTAACAATGTAGTTGGTATCACTTTGATGTGATAGTTTTTCCAGCTCAGGAGACACTTGTTTTCATTCTTGCTCGTATGAAGGACATAAATACCTGAGCCACATTTCTGCCTCAGAGTTTATTTGTGTTACACTGGAGTCAAAACCAGTGCACACAGATTAGCAAAAGGTATTATCTGCATTTAGTGACACCATTTAATGCCTGTGTCTAGGAATCCAGGGTAGATCTGCCACTGGGCGTGGGAATTAAGATGCACAGCAATTTTGGGCACTTCATACAAGGCAATGTATGAGGCTCTAAGGCACCTGCTGTACTTTCCTGTGGTCTCGTGTTCTGCTACTTGGTTGAGCCGGAGCTACCCAGAGTGGAAGAGTAATAGCATTTCCCATCACCAACTTCTTTACAGGAACTGCAGCCAGTTTAAGATCGTACATGCACTGCCCTCCAGGGAGGACAAAATGAAACTAGTGCTGGAGCACCTCTGCTGTGGAGACAGGCTGAGAGAGCTGGGCTTGTTCAGCTTGGAGACAAGAGGGTTCCAGGGAGACCTTAGTGCCCTTCCAGTGCCTAACAGGGGTACAAGAGAGCCCTTACATATATGAGAGTAAATATATGCCCTCAGAATGACTTATCTTTAGATGTCTTTTTTAGGTTCTTCAGTTATTTTAAAGTTAAGGGGACTAAAACGAAAATGTTTTTCAGACTGCTCTTATTTTTCTTCAATTTTTTGTTCCTTTCTCACATCCACTGCTGCACATCTGCAAATATAGCCTTTGTGATATGTACTGACTCTCTTTACTCACCTGTGGAAACAGCCTCTACATGGTGTATCTCGAGACATGACTCACATTTACTAGAAGTGTGTCCTGTTCAGTTTAGGTATGTGTCCTTTGAAACAATCATTCTAAAAGCAAGTGTTGAAGAAAACCCAGTTATGCTGCATGAAAGATCTGTCCTCTGGGGCCTTTCTTCTCAAAACAAGAAAAGATCTCCATACTTTTTCCTCTGCAATGTGACCTCTTACCAGTAGCTTCCTACTTTGATTTGTTTGGAGGAAAATATGTGGTTTAGGTTGAAGGACTGACTCCTTTCTAGGCCAGGCACATTTCCCACTCAAAATCTGCTTGCACTTGAGGTTTCTTCGCAGTGTCTCCCACCAGCACTGCTGGGTGCAGTGTGTGAAGCACCTCCAAAGCACTTTTTCTTCTCTTCCTACTCAAGCCCTCTGTGTTGTGCTGTGGGTGATGGTGTCCACAGCACAAGCCTTTTCCTACCTAATTGCTGAACACAGAGATGAACATGCTCACTTTCATGTCTTGTAAAGGTTTTTCAAACCACCACAGATGTGAAACGAGGAAGCAGGATTCCACTGCCTGAGTTAAGGGCACCGAGGCACTCCAGGGCACATGGGACATTTACAGGAATCATGCAGGACCTGGGGGAGAACTAGAGATTTCTGGAGCCTTGGCTCAGTTAGCCCATGTGCCCTTCCTGCCCCATGTCCCCTGAGAAAGAAGACAGCAAAGAGCAGGACAAGTTTGTGATCTCTGAAAACCACCAGAAAAGAAAGGAACATCGAGCTGGAAGGCCAGGGATCTACTGATACATGTGACCACTTCTAGATGCCTGTTGTGCATCAGGGCACCAGTTCTCAGATGAGATCAGCTGTGGGAAAACACTGTCAGGGCATTCATAATCATATCTCTTGTACCTCTAATCTTTACAGTGTGATGTTAATTATTAATTGAAAACGGCACTGGGCCAAATTCTAATGACACTGGAGTGCTATAAACCTGGAATAATTCTGCTTAAGAGTATGGCTTTTCTCCTGTGCAGTCAAGATTGTAATGCTGACAGATAACAAACACAGGGGAAGGAGTCAGCAACTTTGGGCTTGATTGAGAACTTCCTTTGTGAAGTCTGGGTGGGTCTTTTACCAGCTGAACTGAAGACACGAAATTATCACATTCATCTCTGTAATATTCCTCCACTGTGGACTTAGGTAGTTGATGACAGCAATGCCATCATGTGCCATCCAGGAGGCAAATTTTGCTGCTATAATAATATTTCAAAGATGGAAAGTCTGATGCTGGTTGGCTGATGCTCCACCGAAAGCTCATCAGCATTCCATATATATTGCAAGACATGAGAGGGACCAGCTTCTTTTCCCATTGCAGAAATGGGCTCCAGCATCTTCCCACTGTGCCTGATGCTTCTACTATGTTATGTTTATGGTTCTCCACTCCCTGTAAGTAAATCCTAATTTCTACAGACTCTGAGTAAAACCCGAATTCTACAGGCTCCTCTCAGTCCACAAACATCTCATACCTTATAGTGACTGTATTTCATTCTCTTTCAGGTGGGGAACCACTCCAGTGGAGCTGGTAAGTGCTGTGTGAGCTGGTTTGAGTTTTGAAGCTTCTCGTGCTTTGAAGTTTCTTGTGCTTGCAGTGCCACCACATCTGAACACATAACGTTTTGTCTTGCAGATGCTGAAGCTGGTGAGATATTCAAAGACATTCCAGACATCAACTTGGGTGAGTTCATGTCCAAATTCTGATGAGGCCTGAAAAGCTGTGAGCAAAATGCTGAATTTTCTGTATTGTAAAAAAGATTAATGATAGGTAGCTCACAGTAACAAGAGAAATATGATCAAGTGAGCTCTGAATTACCTTCCTCTGGCTGTGACACCTGAATCTATGCCAGGACTATGACCCTATGTAAACAAGGGATGCAGAAGTCTTTAATTTCTGAAGTTTGGACAGACCCATGATGTTACGATAGAAACACATTGTATCAATTGGAAGGGCTTTGGAGTCCCGAAGCAATTTCTACCCATCTTTATATGATTTTGATAAAGTTTTTTAAAGATGGAAAACAACTTAGATGTTTATTGAGCTTCTATGTAAGTAGGAAGAAATCAGAGGCAGGAGACACAACATGCTGTACTGTCTTCCTCCATGATTTTTATTTCCTGCAAATTTCCATCAAATATTTCTTTTGATGGTGCACTGTGCAATATTCTTCCTCATGCATTGCTTGACTTTACTATGTTCTCCAGAGCACTGTCTCACTGTATGACTGTTGTCTCTGCCTGAGAGCAAGCAAGATGTTATCAAAAGAGACATGGGTAGTGGTGGCCACCAGATTTCTTCCACCACAAATGCAGACATTGCCAAGTAGTAAATATTGAGTAGAAACTGCTGTTACTTTTATTATTACCTATATTTGAGTGTACAGAGGCTGGTCCTTACATAATTTCTGTAAATACTCAGGTACATTAACCTTGTATAAGTAGATTCAATATGGTTTATGAAATGAAATATATTTGATCTTTCATTTACATTGTCTTTCATTTACATTGTCTTTCATTAAATTGCTTTCCAGCTGCTGGACAGGACCTCTTTCAGGGTGATATCATGCTCCCTGTAAGTAGTTAAAACTTTCTGTCACTTGTATTTTTGCTGCAAATCTGCTCATCTCCCCACAGCAGATGCATCACCAGCTGTTAATTCCATTTTCAGAAAGATCAGCGAAATGCTCTTAGAAATGAGACTTACAGGTGGAAGTTCCCTGTTCCCTATATTCTGGGTGATGACCTAGGTAATTCAAACACTTCATTCAGATTTTATCTCCAATCCTTATTTGCACTGGAGTCACTGTAATAAAAATATCTGCCTTTTTCAGAACTGGTTCTCTCGTATTGAAATTTTAAAATTCACTAATAACAAGATAAACTAACTTGTTTATGTCAAACCCATTTTTATTTCTTCTACAGCTAACATAACAAAACACAATTTAATCAGATTCAGTAATTTTTCTCTTCAATTATTTTTCTTTTCAATCATTTTTCTTTTGAATAATTTTTCTTTTGGTCCCCTGTGTGTATCTGTGTACATGTGTTACCTCTCTAGAGGGAATGATCCGCAGTTTGTTAAAGGTATCTTCCCAATGCATGTTTTC